ACCCACGTACCCGGACGTTCAAGTCCCTATCTCGCAGACATGTCCGTTAGATAGTGTGCCGCTCAGATGATTCGGGTGATGCAGATGATGCAAAGCAGAAACTCGCATTTCTTGCATCCCTAAAGCCTTCAAGATACCCAACATTAGCACGAAAGCACTTCAAGCCGGTTCCAAAAACGTGAAAAAACACAGGATTCTAGAGCGAAAATGGCCCCCCCCCCTAGCTAAAGCTACAGTTTAGCACTGGCGGTACTACGGAATCATGCGTGCCCTATAAAACGCCTCAGCACCTTCGGTGCGGGCGGATTTTTAACTAACCTATATAAATCGAGTGCAATAAATCAAATGGCTGTGGCTCAGCAGGGTGCCGTCCAAAGTGCCCTTGTAGGGAAAAAATAGACCACAACCTGCACGTCCTTGGTCTTTTTTTTGAGCAGGCCACAGCCAAATAATAGACTTCAGCCCAGCTACTGATCCTAACACCAGTTGATTAGAGCCATAGGTGGAAACTTGGGTTCAGTCAGGCACCCCCAATTCCTAACGGACAGATCATGTTATTATGTTTTATTTGTTCCTTCACTTATTCATGGGGAAAGCTACTTCCGTCTCATCAAGACCTAGGTGCTTAGGCGAGTTGTGTTGGCGCAGATTTGTGGACTGCAGGTGCTTGTAGCTGAAGCAGAGTTCATTGTTTTGAGAAACAGTCAAGAACGGGTTTCATGTCCGAGTTTGTAAGGAATGTGATAATGTGAGAGTAGTAATACTGAGGAACGTCGAAGAATTACTGCATTGTATTGAAGAAGGCCCCTCATCTTGAGACACACCTATGTCATGCAATGCATCCAGTTGGGTAACCAGACGATATATATATATATATATATGTAATGCTGTATGTGGTTCCGATCCAGACGGAACTCAAACTTCCAGACAGCATGATCATTTCACATCACGCCCTGTTCCACAAGCCTGACGTGGGGCCCAGTGATTCTGGCACTTCGCAGATCCAAGGCTGACAATTTCCTGGTGGGTGAAGTGAACCAGCTCCAGCCCCTGGCGTTCATGGAGGCCGCTCAGAAGGCGAAGGTGCCAGTGACCTTCAGGAGCCTGCTGACCACCGGGATAGGTGCTAGGCATGAGCGAGAGATGATGTGCCGTACACTTTCAAAGCTCTATACAAACAGACATGACCGTGGTCATGCATACTAGCTAGGCCATCTACGTTTCAGTGAGGCTGTGGTTGAAGCACAAAACGGATGGAAAAGCATATTGAAACCCTGACTCTGCCGTCAACGCTGAGTGCTCAAATTGTTGCATATCCAACGTGAGCGTTGAAGCAGGATGCAGGCTGGCTATGATCACAGCTACTACTTCATGTCCACTTTCATTCGAGCCTTAGCGATAGAGGGGATCCGTGATGGAGGCGATCTTGAAATGGACATCTATTGGTTCGTATGAAAGTGCGCAGGGGATAGCAAGGGTTTACCGAGAACATCGCAAAGGAGAAACAAGGTACCGGCGTTGTTAGAGGCCTGGTGTAATTGCAACCTCTAAAAATGTGAGAGGTGCATGTCATTTCGTCCCATTTTTTAAAGGCATTGAGCCTGTCTTTTAAAACCCAGTGGAACTATAGCCCGGAGGTGTGTCTGTCACTGTCTGCGACGCGCACGTTTTGGAAACCCACGGAATTCCACGACCAAAGTGCGACTCAAAGCCTGCGCGGAATCCTTGTTGTCGCAGAGCAGTCCTCAGTGCGTTTTATTCCACTTGGCAGCCAACTTTGCGAGCGAATCCTTCAGATTCCGTCTCTGGTTGTACCGCCAGCAGAAGCTCCACACATATAATACATGTCCACTCGGGGTGAGTCTCTTCGAGACCGACCGCATCCATTCTTATACAGCAGGCCGTCCTACGACTCTTCCTCATACCTCACTACTACGAGACCTTCCTCTTGCAGAAGAATTGATGGACTGGGTTCTTTGAACTCCAGGAAAGGAGGGATGTATCTCGCGCAAGGGCTTCTTATCTAGTAGCGCAACTTTTTTGAAGAGAAAGGCACAATGCACAAGCCTCCCATTGCCCCTTAAAAGAAGTATTGTGAGTAACGAACGGTCTTAGTCCAGCCTGACAGCAACAAAGTTTTAGTTTACCTAGTCCATCAGTTCTTTTGCAAGATGAAACACTAGTGAGGTATGAGGCAGGGTCTTAACAAGGCCCTGCTGCAAAACAACTAAATTTACTAAGCCCATCAAGCCCTTTCACTAGGCAAAGATCTAGGAACTAGGCGTTCAAAAGAAAGACGCGGCTTCACTTCTACCTTGCACGATGTTCACAAGTTTGGAAGCAAGAATCCACGATTGGAAGCAAGAATCCACCTTGGAAGGCCTTGGCCCTGGACATTCATATTCCACAAAGTACATCCACCCTTTCTTGTAGCAAAGCTTTTTGATTGATAAACGAGAAAGTAGAATCGAGGGATGGATGGCTGGATGGATGGATCGGTAGAGAGAGAGAGAGATAGAGTTAGAGGAAAACACATTCATCAGGAAGGGTTTTCTCTAAGTGTTTTTTCTTGTATTCCTTCTGGGTTTGACATAGATAAGTCGATTGCACCAAATGCATATGAGTCAGGAAACTACAATAGTTTCAAGAAAAAACATTGAAAATGAAACTTGTTGTGTCAAGCGAGATCGGTGGCGCATAGGGGCAACACTTCCCCACCACCCGCCGTCCCCCGAACCACACGATGTCGACAACCAAGCTAACGCGGCGGTTACATGAAAAAGAAACTATAAACTGGTAATGTTGCCATTGGGTCGTTAACAGCGCTGGTAGCGTAAACAACAACACCTACCCGGCAGTTGCTGCAAATTCCTTTTTGGCTGCTGCTGAGGAGAACATTTGGAACACCACGCTCGTTTCCTTCATGCTCAAAGCTGATGCCGCCGGATGAGATGGCTGGAGAAAAGCATCAGAAGCAGCCACCCACTCCCAGAGGTCTTCAATGGCATGAAGCCATGATATATAGTTTTTGCAAACCCTGCGAGTTGTGTAGGCCGTAGTTGCTTCTTTGCTGCCCTTTTGACTTTTCATCCAGCCAGCTCAGACTTGACCAGCAGGCAAAATGTGTAAAAAGGACCCGTGCTGACAATACAACTTCTGCAGGGTTTGGTCATGCCACGGCCCTGGCGAAAAGAGCAAAGCATTTGAGAGTGCCATATACAACAAATGAAATATATAATTATTCAGCCAAGCCGACTTTTAGGGAGGCAGTTTCACCTGTGCCTTCTTCCCACAGCATGCTGTGACATCCTTGTTCCGTAGCAAGATAGTCTACTACAAGCTTGTTCAGGTTGGCCAGCAGCCATCGAGTACGCAGGCAGTGCACTACATTCCAAAACAAATAGATAGGGCTGGACTTCTCCCGTAGTGTACTTGAACATGTCTTTTTTGGATCATCCCAGTGTTCCATCATTTGCTTGGTGTTGCTTCGCTATGATGCCACATCAACAGGATGGACGGTTGAAGATGCATGCATGCTTCAAATCGTGGCGTTATGATCCTAAATTTACAGGTTTTTGATAAGATCAGATCAAACAACCGTCCACAGACAGCGCCTTAAAGCATATACAGCATGTGCCTACTATTGCTGTTTGCTACTGTGAGCAATTCTCCTTGAGGTTTGGAGCAAACCTTTGACCGCAAGTGCTGAGAAGCGCCAGGCCTCAGTGAGCCTGGAATGCCTCTGCTGATTGGAGCTTCAAACAGTTTCCTCGTATCTACTGTAGATACTTAAGGTTTTTGAAAGTCTGGTCCAAGCAGAGCGGAAGGCATGGGCTACGTGGCTACTTTCAGGGCCTTCTGAACCCATTCTGAACACACACTCCCCGTGCATGTCGCATGATTGCTGTTCCTTTGCATTGGCAATCGGTGCTTAGTCGGCGTAGTTATCAACAATAAATTGTATGCCACAACAGAGTGTATTGATTGGCTTGGACACTCCAGCATCACCTGCTTTTCTTTTGCAGTTTCAACATCTTTCACACGAAAATCATTATGTATAATGCGTACATACTAGTACTACTACTACTACTACTACTACTACTACTACTACTACTACTTCTACTTCTACTTCTACTTCTACTTCTACTTCTACTACGACTATATATATATATATACTCTGGAATTCCACAGAACCAGCACCATGACGGTCATGCACTTGTCCACTGTTTGCATTCCATGTTTGCACTGACACTCTGCTGAACCGCAGAGCGCTCAAGGAAAAGGCCGCTGCCTTCACCCGTCGTGCCGACTTCGGGATTTTGATGGTAAGTGGAGCCGGTGATCCGCTCCCGGGCTTCTGCTGGCGCCGCCTTCACTGCCGGCGCTGCGCCTGCGCTCCTCCGCTCCTGTCGCTTTGCTTACGGAGGCGGGCAGCTACCTTTGCGCTGCTGGACTTGATTGAGGTTGCCTTCAGCTAGTCCATCCGTGCCGGCCTATGCTGGAAGCATCCTCACCGACAGGCATGGGCTGCCGAGCAGATGTTTGGAGAGTATGAGGAGAGGGCATGGGACCTGTATCACGGCCGCGAAGGTCAAGAAGCCCTCCAAGCCGCGACCCCAGTGCACCTTCGTTCGCCGGTGCTGTCTACAAGTCTGTCAGGAAGCTCGACCACTCAAAGTTGAAGACGAAGACAAGTGAAGGAAAGCCCACCGATGCTGGAATCAAGCTCTTCATCCAGACCTTCAAGGACAGCATCGTGGCTGAGCTCCATGTCAAGACAAGCGAGTTGTTCTTCCAGGCCTTCTACAGCCCTTGTAGTCACAGGGATCCGTTTGGATTGTTTTTTGAGATTGTTTGTTTGAGCAGGGGGCGTGACGGTCGATTTCCTAGTCACGCCAACGAAGCTATGGAAATCGACTGGATGGAAGTTTGGACGCAAACTTCTGTACCTGCTCAGAGTTGATGGCCACACTGAACTTGATAGACCTCCACTTCCTTTTCAGGTTCCCTTACCTGTACTCTTAGGCAATGGTCACCTAGGCCGGCGTGTGGCACCGCGTTCAGTTCAGTACACCCTATCCTAAGTGTGTCTGGCCTCGGCCAGCCCGGGATGAGCCCGAAGAGTGCCTCCCGTGGACCCGTTGAACGGGGGTTTGTCGTTCTTCCTCCTGCCTCGGAACGTAGGTGTCCGAAGCGGACAGCAGGAGGCTTGTGCCAAAGTTTTTTGCCAAGATTTGTCGGATTATTGCATTCCAAGATGGCTCATGCCTATACGTGACCGCAGCGGTCAAAGGTGGCAGCCCTCGGGCAAGCCGTACGTGGTCGCAGCGACCAAAGCTTGTTCAAGGCTCATTGGAACCTGTCGAGAGCTTAGTCCCCCTTCCTCCCCCACCCCCTCTCTTCCCCTTTCGCTTGTTGGGGTGTTCCTGAATGTAATACTCAGCTTCGCCCCCTTCTCCCTGGTGTGTCCCTGGACGCTCGCGCATAGCTGGGAACACCTGTCCCCTTCCTCTCTTTTCACTCTCTCTCTCTCTCTTTTCTCCTTTCTGTCTTTCCCCCCTTGCTTTCGTCATAGCTGGGAACCCTTGGACGCTTGTGTCGTAGCTGGGAACACCTTCTTCCCCTTCTCCTTTCTTCTCCTTCTTTTTCTCTTCTCTCCCTACCCCTCCCTCCTGTCGGGACTTTAGAGTGGGGTGCTACTAGGGGCTCCTGGCCTTACTACTAGGTGCTACTAGGACGCTACTTTGACGCTTCTAGGGGTTCCTGGCCTTACTACTAGGAATGGCCCTCCCTTCCACTGGCGACTCTTGCGTATGGGAAGTCCCGCATACCTGCACTCTTGAATATCTACGTCAATTCCCGACGCCTTGGCATACCACATGAGTTTTCACGTGAGGCCACCCCCTTTCCCCT